TGGCCTCCTGGTCTGTGGAGTCGGGAGCAGGCAGGGTGACAGGACGGCTCAGAGGGAGAGGCCCTTCTCTTGTAGGGGATGCTGCTGGGAAGCCACAGAGGCCTCGGTCTGCCCCGAGGGCCAGCAGGTGAGTTCCACGGGGTGGGACATCGGGTCCACACAGTGGGCAGGTGGGCCATCCCCACCCACCTCCCCGGCTCCCTCCCTGTGTCTCTGTGTCCCCTCCTCTCATCCAGGCAGGGAGTTGAGGCTGTGCTGTATTTTGAGAGACCACTTTCTAGCAGTGATTCATTGGGTAAACATTTATTGAGTGCCTACTGTGTACTCATGCCATTCTGGGTTCTGAGGATATAGGAGCAAGATAGGTCCTCCTTCTCAGAGTTACATCCTAGTGGCTCAGGTTTTCTGAATGACAAATAAGTTCGAGCATGTTCACTAAGTCCACGTGTTCTGACGAAACCGAAGCAGGTGATGTGATGGAAGAGAGAAGTGGCGACTTCAGTCGGGCTGGTAGTGGGGGGCCTCTGGGCTTGTGGGGAGGACGACTTTGCGCTGAGCCCTGAGGAGAAGCAGGAGTGGCCACAGGGAGAACTGGGAGGACAGAGGCCAAACTCAGCAGCATGTGCAAAGGCCCTGAGGTGAGAGGAGGCACGGAGACAACAGAACAGCCCCTCTTGTCCGTTTGGTCCCCAGCTGCACGGAGAAGCTTCAATCAGATGAGCTGGCCTCCAAGACCCTCTTTGGGCCACCCCTAGAGTCAGCCTTTGACCACGAAGACTTTACAGGTAATGGGGGTAAGGGCTTCCGGGAGCGTGGGTGTGGCCGGAGGGTGGACGGATGGAGCCATTGCAAGCATAGGTGGCTCTGTGGGCAGGAGGGCGGACGCTGGGGTCCTTTGTGGGCCAAGGGGAAGATCGGTGGGGCCAGGTCAGTGTGAGGGTGGGCGGGGCCACAGCATGCGTAGGAAGAGCCAGAGAGAAGGTGGAGCCGCTTGGTAGTGGGGGTGGCAGTGGGTGGGTGGGTGAGGCGTCAGTGGAGAGAGAAGGAACCAGCGGGAGTGGCCTGGGGTGGGCTGTGAACACTGGCTTTGCATGGCCCGGACCCCCGCGTGGGCAGGGTCTGGAGCTAGTCGCCCCGTCTCCCCCCAGGTTCCAGCAGCCTCGGCTTCACCTCCAGCCCCTCGCCTTTCTCCTCCTCATCGCCGGAGAACGTGGAAGACTCCGGCCTGGACTCACCATCGCACGCAGCACCTGGCCCCTTCCCAGATTCCTGGGCCCTCCGCCCGGGCACCCCGCAGAGCCCACCTACCTGTAGGCCGCAGCCACCCGAGTCGAGGGGGACACGGCCCCTGCTGTCATCAGACTCGCCACTGCCCCTTGCGGCATCCCCAGGCCCCTGGGGGCGGGAGGCTGTGGCTGGAGGCGGTGAGTCCCGTGGCCAGGAACTGTTATGGGAGCTGTGGGGAGGATGGGGCATCTACCATGATCAGTGCCGGGGGCTGGGGACAGAGCTGAGTCGGAGGCTGGCGGAAACCTCTCCCTAGCAAGTGCAACAAAAAGATGGGTATATACAAGGCAGAAGTGGCAGTGCCGGTGAGGGCTCCCAAGGGCAGGGGCTCTCTGAGGAGGGACATCTGAGCTGTGCCATGATGGGGGTGAGGTGAAGCCATATGATGTGGGGGAAGGGTTCCAGCAGAGGGTTAGAGCCTACGCAGAGGCAATGGGGTGGGAGCCCGCTAGGCCCCCTGAGGAACAGTGGGGAGGCTGGTGTGGCCAGAACAGAGTGATGGCAGGGAGCGGGGAGGGAGGGAAGACGTCAGCAAGGAGATGGGCCAGGCACCGGGAGGCGCCTGGGGCCGGAGAGGAACGGAGAGGGTCCAAGGCTGGGCTGAGGCAGGGCTGGGGCAGGGAGGAGGCGAGCAGGCAGGAGTGGGTGCCTGGAGGTCACAGGAGAGTGGAGTCCCCTTTGCATTTAGAGAAACGGCTGTGACCACGTGAGGTCCCCAGCAGTGGTAAGGGGGTGCCAGGCGGAGGCCATGGTTAGAGAAAGACCCTGATTGGAGCTGCTTCAGGGAGGGCCCTCGGGAGGGAGGGAGTGTAGACGGGGAGTGTAGACGGTGAGTAGTCAGAGCTTCACTGCAGAACAGGGACTCTCAGCCAGCCAGTTGTGCGGCCCAGGGCACACTCAGCAACCTCACCACCGATGTGGGATTGTCACCCCGGGGGACGGACACAACCAAGGCCAGGGGTGCTGTTCCCCCTGCAGCACGGAGGACGGCAGCACCTCAGGAAACGGAGGGAGAGGAACACGGCCTGGGCGGGTGGGAGGGGAGGTGCATGGGCAAGCGGGTCAGCTGGAGCAGAGCAGGGGCTGCTGGGAGGCAGGAGAGCGAGGGGACCCTGGGTGGGACACCACGACTAGGAGGGTGAGACTCAGACGTGGGCCAGGGAGGAGGCCACTGCTACCCTCTCAGAAAGGGTGACCGTCACGGAATTGCTGAAAGTTAGAGAAAAGCCCTTTTCCACCCCCCTCCCCCTGCCCCCCCCCCCGCCCCCGCCGTAGCGTAGCATGCCTGCCTCCTGAGCATCCAGGGCCCCGGGGCAGGGAGCTCCCCTCTTATGAGGCCACAATCTGGTGTCAGGGCCGTGGGTGGCGTCCGCAGTCCTGTCTGGCACCTTCTCTGAAGCCCCAGGACCTCAGACCATCCAGGGTCTCCCCACAGTCAGTCTGACGCCCAGGTTTTGACTGAGTCCTCCCCTGGGGAGGCCCGGGAGGCCCAGGGCAGCCTCTCAGCCACGGCTTTCTCACACTCGCTCCCAGACCCGACGCCCGGACCTGCTGACCTTCCGGCCACGGAGGGCCTGGCAGCCCCACCCCGGAGGCCCCGCTCCCGGAAGGTGTCCTGCCCCCTCGTGAGCAGCAACGGGGATCTGGTAGGCCGAGGGGGCATGGCCGGCGCTGGGCTGGGGCGCCTCGGGGTCAGCAGCAGGACACTGCTCCTGGCGTGGCCACAGCCCGGCCTGTCTCCTTCCCTTCCAGTCTCATTCTCTGAGCTCCTCCCCGCTGGGCTCCTCCGTCCCCGGCACCGCCCCCGAGCGCTCCAGCGTCCTCCTCGCAGACGGGACACGGTACCCGTGGGCTTCACCTTCTCTGGCCGGGGTGGGTGGGGGCTGTGATACCTTAGACACCCTATTGGCAGAGGCAGGTTCTGGAGCCTGAAACCTGTCCTCACGCTCTCGTCTGCCCTTCATTCTCCCCCCGCCCCAATCCCCCCCAGGAATCTCCCGGGGCCCAAGCCCTGTGGTCCTGGGCTCCCAGGATGCCCTGCCGGTGGCCACCGTCTTCACCGAGTATGTCCACGCCTACTTCCGTGGCCACAGCCCTAGGTATGCAGTGCCGGTGAGAGTGCGGACGGTGAGGGGCAGACGGGGCTCCCTGGGCTGGGTTCTAGCAGGGACAGCCTCCAGGGGGGTTTTGTGGCCGGGTTTCCCACGGAAGGGCCTTAACCATTGGGCTGAGCCACCAGGCCCCTCTCCTGAAGGGCAGTGGGGGCGATGGAGGGCGTGGGAACAGGGCTGGCGTCATTGCTGCCACTGTGTAGAGGGCCTCAACCTGAAGGCAGGAACTCCAGAGGCCAGGCCCGTGGAGGAGGTGGGTAAAGGGTGAATTGAGGGGCCAGGGGTCGTCTGGGGGTGGTGCCCAGAAGAGAAGAACTTCACGTCAAACCAAAGAGAGGAAGAGAGCGTTAGACCCCATGCCCAACATGAAGACAATTCTAAAGCTGAATTTTTGCTGTGAGCTTCCTGGCGGCCTAGGGGAAAAGAGAACCAGGGCAAGAGCTGTTCCTGCCTCCTCAGCCCAGTGTGGCTTCTCCCTGGAGCCTGGATTGCTATGCAGGCGGGGACACAACGGGAGGAGGTTGGGGTGTAGCCAGGGCCTTGCTGCTTCTGCAGACCCAGGGAGCCCCAGGAAAGAGGGGAGGATGAGGTGCCGGCAGAGCCCTGAGCCAAAGCCCAGTCCCCTCCCCTCTCACCCAGCTGCCTGGCTCGAGTAACTGGGGAACTCACCATGACCTTCCCAGCCGGCATTGTGCGTGTGTTCAGCGGGACCCCACCCCCACCGGTCCTCAGCTTCCGTCTTGTACACACCACCCCCATCGAGCACTTCCAGCCCAATGCCGACCTGCTCTTCAGGTACCGTTGGGAGGAGGGAGGCGGGAGCAGGGGGTCCTAGAGGCTAGTGGGGGCCAGGAGCTCCCCAGCCGTAAACTCCTCTGCCTCCCAGGATTTGCCGTGTGTCCCTGGGCAAGGCCCTCCCTCTCTCTGGACCTCACTTTCCTTTGCTTCCTTCCCCGCTTCTCCCCCCTGCAAATGCTCTTTGTGGGGGCCAAGGTGGCCTGGGAAATCAGCATCTTTAGGAAGCCCTTGGGGTGGGTGGGGTGCTGGGGACCCTGAGAGGCTTCCTCCGAGGGTGGGGGTGATTATTCCGGGTCTCTGCAGCGACCCCTCCCAGAGCGACCCCGAGACCAAAGACTTCTGGCTCAACATGACAGCCCTGACGGAGGCCCTGCAGCGCCAAGCAGAGCAGAATCCAGCCGCCTCCTACTACAATGTGGTGCTGCTGCGGTACCAGGTGGACTAGGTGGATGGGTGGGCAGAGGGGTAGGGAGGGGATGGGGGATACGGAGGGGATGGGGATACGGAGGGAACGGGCAGGGCAGAGGGAGCAGGGAAGGGATGGTGGGAGTATAGGGAGGACAGAGGGTAAATGGTGGCCAGAAAGGCATTGTAGGGAGCCAGGCCTCCACAGTGCAGATGGTATCATTATGCAAATTAGAAGTGCCCCTCCCAGGCCCCTGCTGCGGTGCCTGTCCGCAGACTGTATTAGAATGAGGCCCTCTCCTGCCCTCTGCTGGACGTGTGGTGTAATGCAGACTCCTGTCTGCAAAGCCTCCGGGAAAGGGTCTCTCTTGGGGCGGTGTGTGCACCGTGTGGTAGGACAGGATGGCCCAATCTGCGTCCTCTCTCTTTCCAGTTCTCCCGCCCGGGCCCCCAGTCTGTGCCGCTGCAGCTGAGCGCCCACTGGCAGTGTGAGGCGACCCTCACGCAGGTCTCGGTGGAGTACAGCTACCGGCCCGGTGCCACGGCCGTGCCCACGCCACTCACCAATGTCCAGATCCTGCTGCCTGTGGGGGAGCCTGTGACCAATGTCCGCCTGCAGCCGGCTGCCACCTGGTGAGGGCATGTGGACGGCCAAGAGGGGCTCAGCGGTGCCCCTGAACCCCCAACCCTCCCCTTGATGAAGCAACTAGAGCAGTGGTTCTTAACCTTGGCTACACATTAGAATCACCTGGGAATCTTTTTAAAATCCTGATTTCTGGGCCTCATCCTCCGGAAATTCTGTTTCTTTGTTACTAATGTTGTGGTCCCGCCCCATAACAAAGAAACAGAATTCCGGAGAATGAGGCCCAGAAATCAGGATTTTAAAAAGATTCCCAGGTGATTCTCATGTGCGGCCAGGGTTGAAACCCACTGAACTAAGGGTCCACCCCTGCACCTGACTGGCGGGCGTGAGCTCACACCCGCTCACAGCTGAGGTGCTGTGATCAAACAGGAATACTATCTGACACAGCTCCCTCCGTGCCAGGTGTGGCCTTGGTTCAGCACGCGCTGATTGGCTTACGGCTCGTAGCATCCCTCCGGTGTAGACTGCCATCATCCCTATGTATGGGTGGGAAACTGAGGCAAAGGGAGGCTAAATGGCTTATCTAAGATCACAGCAGGATCTGAATCCAGCTCCAGTGTTGCCTTGGTTTTGTATAAAGGATAGAACCTGTCTCGAAGAAGCCAGACTTACAGGACCAAATGCATCCTCTAAAGATGCTGCAAGGCTGTGGGCCCTCAGTACCAGCTGCTCCACATCCCACCCCTGCTTCACTGACGGGAAACTGAAGCAAGGGAGGGGCCTGGCTTGCTCTGGTCATATACAGTGGGGCCTTGACTTACGAGTGTCCTGACTAACAAGTTTTTTGAGATACCAGCTGTCTCTCGGCCGATTTTTTGCATTGAGTTGATAGAGTAATTTGAGTTAACGAGCTCCTTAACGTGCTCCTTAACTAGAACGCATTAAACTCGTAAGTCAAGGCCCCACTGTAGCTGAGAGGAAACTGAGCGGGGACCCTGGGTTCTAAGTGCTCTCTCTGGGGTTGACCTGACCAAGCTTCTCTTGATGCCAGGAACCTGGAGGAGAAGCGGTTCCTATGGAAGCTTCCAGATGTGTCCGAGGCCGGGGGTGAGTTGTGGCTGTACATCAGGACTCAGGGGTCTCAGGTGGGAGAATTGGGATGTGCTTGGGGTAGGGGAGTGTGGCCAGGCTTGGAAGGGCTTTGACAGAGCTGAAGGAGAGGCATCCTGGGAGTGGGCACAGCAGGTGCAAAGGCCCTGGGGCAGGGCCGCTTTACAAACCACACACAGTCTTGTGGAGCCAAAGAAAACGGGTGCAGGGGCACAAGAGGAGGTCAGAGGGGTAGAGAGGCCACAAATCAAAGCAGGGCCAGGGAAGAGTGGGTCCCAATGGGCCTGGGGCCAGGGATGGGACACAGCTGACCTCAGGCCTCCCCAGGTTCTGGCCACCTGTCTGCCAGCTGGGAGCCGTGCTCAGGGCCCAGCACGCCCAGCCCCGTGGCCGCTCAGTTCACCAGCGAAGGGGCCACTCTGTCGGGCGTGGACGTGGAGCTGGTGGGCAGTGGCTACCGCATGTCGCTGGTAAAGAGAAGGTTCGCCACAGGTACGTACCGACTCTACCACCCCCACCTTCCTGGGAGCCAGGCCTCTGCTGTGGCCAAGCCCCACCCCCTGCTTCTGCCAGGATGCAGGGGTGAGGGAGGCATTTGAGATATTTGGGACAGATAGGTGGGTGTCCGGTCTGGAAACCCAGTGTGGGGTGGTCACAGACAGGGAGGGGTGGCCAGGGTCCCAGGGGGAGGGGTCAGGAAGGAAGATGAATGTGTCTGGGCCATCCCCTGGAGGGTGGGTGTCCTTGCAAGGATCCAAGGCCCGCAGCCAGAAACACCACTGCACCAGCAACCTCACCCTGTTCTCCTGCCCCCACAGGGGGCTGCTGGGGTCCATGGGGCAGTGAGTTAAGGGGTATTTTGAGAAGGATTGGGGGATCCCAGGGTAGGGACAAGCGACCCTCCTCCCATTCACGGTCCCACCCCCACAGGGATGTACCTGGTGAGCTGCTGAGCCGGGAGGCTGACCAGCCCACTGGCCCCAGCTCTGCAGAGTCCTGGTGCTTGGTGACTGCTCCCTGCCTGCCTGCCGGATGCTGGGGTCCCAACCTGGCCTCCTCCGAGGCCCTGACTCTGTGGAGAGGAGCCCCACGCCCAGCCTGGCTGAGCCGGAGATTCACTTCCGCTCATACCAGCTCCCACACAGGTCCTTGGACTTTTAATGTTCTTTGAATAAACACTTTATTTTCTAATAAAATAATTTTCCTGCTCCTGGAAGTTTCCTTTCCATCGCCAGAGAGGAGAGGAAGAGAAGACGGATGCGTGAGGGAGATCTAACCTCCCTAATGTTCCCCATCCCCCACCCACCCGCTTACTCCCACTCAGGGCAGAAAAAGCCAAACATGGACACCCCAGCCCCATGGACACCTCCAGTTCCATGGACTCAGAGCTGGGCTGGTGGAAGGAATGAGGACTAGAGGAACACAGACTAGAGTGGGAGTGTCAGGAAGACTTCCTAAGGAGTGGATATTCTAAATGGGGCTTTGAGGTATGAGTAGGAGTTTGCAAGATGGGGATGGACACCCCAGGCAGAGAGATACAGAGTTGTGAGTTCCATGAGAAAGCAATTAGTCCATCTACGAATATCAATTGAGTACCTACTGTGTGTCAGGCAGTAAGGACCCAACAGTGAGCAGGAGAAAGCTCTTGGGAGCCATGCAGCTGTGAGCCGAGGTTTAGAGCGTGCGAGTGACCTGACCTCCCTGGGCCTGTTTCCTCATCTGGTGGCTGAGGGGAGGTCGCACACTCTGACAAGACCCGGGTGCAGAGGAAGCACCCAGCAGTGCCAGCAGCTTTTCTTTGATGGGAGCGAGGGAGGGGGGCCTCAGTGCAGGTGGGCAAGAAGCGGCCTGATGGGGGCCAGGACAGGCATGGTAACCAGCACACTTTGGTGGGGAGCAGATCTGAGCTCCGTGGAAAGTCCTGGGTCCTGCTGGACATGTGAGGACCCGGCCTACCTGACCTTGAGGCTGTGCAGATCCCAGGGACCAAGCCAGGCCAGGTGGAGCCCAGGAAGCAGGAAGTGGGGTTATCTCCTCCTGCGAGAGGGGACGCTGTTCATCATCACCTCCTGGTGGGTCACAAGTGAGGTTAGGTATCTTTTGAAACATGAGGCAGCCCTATGTTTGGCTCAGTGGTTAGAGCGTCGGCCTGCAGTCTTTGCACACACACATGTGCACACACGTGTGTGCAAAGACTTGGGGCGGAGGGGAAACACCCATAGGATCAGATGTTTGACTCTGGCTCCTTGATGGGGCTCAGGCCTCGCAAGGGGGCGAGGACCCCCGAACCGGCTCCAAAGTCCTGTTCTAGGGTCACAGGTTTGATTCCAGTCAAGGGCACATACCTTGGTAGCAGGCTCTATTGGGGCCCCGGTTGGGGCGCGTGAGGGAGGCAGCCAGTCGGTGTGAGACATCAATGTTTCTCTCTCTGTGTCTCTCCCACTCCTTTCCATTCTCTCTCTAAAAAAAAAAAAAAAATCAATGGAAGAAATGTCCTCTGGCGAGGATTAACAACAACAACAAAAAGAAATTTAGCCCGGCCTGCATAGCTCAGTGGCTGAGCCTCGACCTATGAACCAGGACTTATGAACGGTTCGATTCCCGATCAGGGTACATGCCCAGGCTGCGGACTCAATCCCCCGTGTGAGGTGTGCAGGAGGCAGCTGATCAATGATTCTCTCATCATTGATGTTTCTATCTCTCTCCCTTCCTCTCTGAAATCAATAAAAATTAAATAAATAAATAAATAAGTAAATAAAACAGAAGGCATTTCCCACGTGCGGCCTTTCGCTGCCCGGCGATCCAGAACTGGTGTGACATGTGCCAGGAAGGAGGGTGGGACGCCTGTTTAACTTGCCAACCCAGGGCGGGCAGGTTGGCATTGTTTGATACCCGGGTTTCCCATGCCTGGGAAGCCCAAAACCTCATGGGGGGGTGCGGGGGGGGGGTGCACAGAGTGTCTGGGTCACTCGCCAGAGGCCACCCCAGTTGGTGAGTGGCCTGGTTGGGGATTTTTTTTTAAATTAAGGTGAAATTCACATAATAAAATTAATCATTTACAGTGAACAATTCTGTAGCATTTAGCACATTCACAATGTTGCACAACCACCACCTTGATAAAGACTGACTGGGACTTTTTTTTTTTTATTATTGATTTCAGAGAGGAAGCGAGAGATAATAAACTTTATGGTTAACTTCCTTTCCCTGATGTAAGGACTCCTCCGTCTCGGCGCACAGGCCGGACTGTGCACCTGGCGTGCCAAACCTGCATGCACTTTGCAAGCCTTTCTTTCTTCCAAATAAACCCTTTGGTGACAAAACAACTAGTCGATATTATTTTTTCAGTTGACAGCCTCTAGGTCCAGAACGTTCCATCACCCTCCAAGAAGTCCCCAAGCCCATGAGCAGTCCCTCCCTACTCCCTCTCCCCCTCCCCCCCAGCTCCCCTACCCCTGGCAACCACAAACCGGGCTTCCTATCTCTATGGATTTGCCCGTTCTGGGCATTTCATATAAATGGAGTCATACACGTGGCCTTCTGTGTCTGGCTTCTCTCACTCAGCATGCTTTGAGGTTCGTCCACAAAAACCTGTGTCCGTGCTTCAGTCCTCCTGATGACTGAGTAATGGCCACTGTGTGTGTGTGAGCTACATTTTGTTCATCCTTCACCAGCTGATGGACATTTGGGTTGTTGTTGAAAAATCAGAGGCCGAAAACCAGGACTACAGGCTTTATTAGAGGAGAAGCACCTGCCGGCTGCCTCGCAAGGGGAGGACAGCAGCAGGTGCAGGGGTGGGCACGCCTTTTGAGGGGCGGAATGGGAAGGGGTGGGGGCTTAGTGTACTCGGCGCACACTGATTGGTGGCTTACTGCATTGTCCATATAGGACAAGGGCTTAGCCTTAGGGTATTTGGCAGGTGTGGATTGGTGGTCCAATGTATAGTCCATATAAGGTACCTGGTTAGTCACTCAGGTATTTCCGGGCTGCAGGTACGTCATACTCCGCCCACCAGTTGGGGGAAGGGAGGATCTATCAGTTTTCACCTTTCGGTGCTCGTGTCTGGTGCTGCTATGAACATGTATGTGCAAGGGTTGGTGTGAACACCTGTGTGGGGTGGTTACCTAGGAGTGTAATTGCTGAGTCATATGATAACAATATCACTATGATAACAATAGTCCAGATTTGAACCGGGGCCCTTCAGTGTCAGAATCTGCCCTGGGATCTCTGGAGCCACTCTCCATGGGGGTGAAACGGAATTTTTGGACGGGAACCCGGATTCTTTGGCCACCGGAGTCGAAGAATGAATCCCCGGACAGAGGGTAGTATAGCAAAGTGGAGATTTATTGAAGAACAAGTACAGACTCCCACGTTGCTGGGAGAAAGGGTCCCACCCACTTCCTGTTTCCAGGGTTTATAAAGGCTGCAGTTCCTGTGTCCTGATATCCCCTCTGATTGGTCAATGTTCCCTTCCCAATTGGTTACTATAGTAACTCCTGGGGCCCTCCTCCCTCATTGTCCTCCTATTCCCTCTGGGCTTTCTTCCTCCTTTATTTTGTAAATGTAGACCTATTTTTGGCTACTTCCAGTTCCCTTGTCTTAAGGAAATGTAGCTGCGCCTGGCTTCCTTGTGTGATGGAAATGTACCTTCTCCCAGTCCAGCCGTGGGCAAACTACGGCCCGCGGGCCGGATCTGGCCCGTTTGAAATGAATAAAACTAAAAAAAAAAAAAGACCGTACCCTTTTATGTAATGATGTTTTCTTTGAATTTATATTAGTTCACACAAACACTCCATCCATGCTTTTGTTCCGGCCCTCCGGTCCAGTTTAAGAACCCATTGTGGCCCTCGGGTCAAAAAGTTTGCCCACCCCTGTCCCAGTCTGTAGCCCTGTGTTTTTCCATGGACCCCAATTCTAAAAATCCCCGAAGCCTGCCTATATTCCCCTAAAATTCCTGTTTCAGGGGAGGGGGGGAGGGGGGACGGGGGTGGGAGGGTGGGGTCTCCTTTCCTCAATCCCTGACTCTTAGGTCGGAAAGAGCCCAGGATCGGATACATGCAGACGTGTGATGAGATAATAGACTCCCCCTGGCATTTCTAACAGATCAGCATGCTAGACACAGATACTGGCTTCTCCACGACCCCCACACAGATACTGACTCCTTCCTGAATACCCCTGCTGACCCCCTGCAGCTGAAACTTTCTCAGCTGAATCCCTCAGCTCATGTCCCCGCCGCTCACCCAACCGCAGTATAAAAAAAAGCGCCCCCCTCCCTGTTGGCGTGAATCCACGTGCCCTGTCCTTGGGGTACGTGGGTCTCCTGGGGACACAATAAACCCTTTCCTTTTCTTTCTTTTTCTGATTCACTGGACTCTCTTTATTTCCTACGCCGCCTCCTGTGCCACCTAACCTAACACTGACAAGGCCAAGCCTCCGTTTCCTGGGGCCTGCAGGGCTGGTTGTACACAGAACCCACTTCCTCCGCCCTGAGTGCCGGGTTAGATCTGTGGACCCACATCTCCTGACCCCAACGTGTGAAGATTAGAAACTTCTGACTCAGACAGACACAGCTCCGGGTTGGGGTGCGGGGGTTTCAAATCTTCACTAGCCTCAACCCCAAGAATCTTCCAATCGGGCTTGCCACTTCCGGAATCTTTCCGAATGCTAGACCGTAGCCTCTGATGTCTGGGGACTCTGTTTTTAGGGCTCACAACTTTCCAAGCGCTTACAGAGACCTGAAGAACCACTGGGTTCTGTTGTATCGCAAATCAGCGAGCTGGACAAGACGCCTAATGAGCCAATTGGTTAGGAGTCATCTTTACTGCGTGCAGTTCAGAGCAGAGTACTCTTAGGTTAGGTGGCTCAGGAGGCGGCGTAGGAAATAAAGAGAGTCCAGTGAATCAGAAAAGAAAGTAAGGAAAGGCTTTGTTCTGCGTCCCCGGGTGGCCCACGAACCCCAAAGACAGGGCACGTGGATCCGCACCCACAGGGAGGGGGGCGCTTTTTTTATACAGCTGTTCAGTGAGGGCGGGGAGCATGTGCTGTGGGAGTTCCCGCCTCGGGGGGTCGTCACGGTTTCCAGGTGTTGTCATCTGTCTGGTAGCTGACCTGTTAGGAATTCCGGGGTGGGGCCGGTATCTGCGTCACCATCTACCTGGTGCACTGGCCTGTTACGGATTCTAGGAAGGGCCCAGTATCTACCTCACCATCTGCCTGGCGGAGGCATGCACCAGCTCCTGGACCCCCTTTCGACCTAACAATTACCTCTGTCAAATCATGAGCAAACACAGGAGGGAGTATTTTGTAACCTTGAGTACATATCGTATCTAATCAAACACCTGTCATATCGACACAGACACCTTGTAACTTTGAGTACACATCATATCGACACAGACACCTTGTAACTTTGAGTACATATTATAGCTAATCAAACACCTGTCATATCTATGCAGACACCTGTAACCTTGGATGAACAAAGACTTGGCGGAATATGTGAATTAATATCAGTATCAGTGTATCAGCCCCTTTAGATGGCTGGCTTGCAAGGTCAGACAGTTCAGTTTATCTTTTCTATTATTCGAGCTAAAAAACAAAGTTATATTTTATAGAATAAGAGATTATAGCCCTAACCGGTTTGGCTCAGTGGATAGAGCATTGGCCTGTGGACTGAAGGGTCCCAGGTTCGATTCTGGTCAAGGGCATGTGCCTTGGTTGTGGGCACATCCCCAGTTTGGGGTGTGCAGGAGGCAGCTGATCGATGTTTCTCTTTCATCGATGTTTCTAACTCTCTAGCCCTCTCCCTTCCTCTCTGTAAAAAATCAATAAAATATTTTTTAAAAAACAGATTATAAAAAAATAACAGAGTAGCCCTGGCCAGTTTGGCTCGGTGGATAGAGCATCAGCCTGCGGACTGAAGGGTCCCAGGTTCGATTCCGGTCAAGGGCACATGCCTGGGTTGCAGGCTTGGTCCAACCTGCAGGAGGCAGCCCATCAATGATTCCCTCTCATCACTGATGTTTCTATCCCTCCCTTCCCCTCTGAAATCAATAAAAAATATTTAAAAAAATAAAAATAACAGAGTAGTTCAAACAGCAGTTTTAAACATCCGTTTTTCCAAAGGAGAGATCACTGTGCTTCAGTTCAATCTTCCTCCCGCCCCCTTTCAATCCTCTCTTCACTGGACACACGTTGGACCAGCGCTGGGCGGGCCCTGGGCCCGGGACTGACAAGGCGCGGCTTGCACACCACCAGCGGCGGGGAGCTCACTACCCGGCTGCGGGTTGGACTCCAGGAGCGCTGTGAGCCCTGGAGGACCGGGGAGGCCAGGAGAAGGCCGGCGCGGGAAACAGCGGCCGCAGAGGGGAAGGGGCGGGGCCGGGGAGGGAAGAAGGAGGGGCCGGCGGGGCGATCTCGACTGGGCCACCAGGAAACTCGGCCCAGCTGGGGGTGCGGGTGCGGGGAGGGATGTGCCGGCGGGAGGCGAGGCCCGGGGGGAGGCGGGGAGGCGCCAGGCACCGGGGCTCACGCCCAGCTGGAGCTCGTCCTCCTCGTCGCCAGCGAAGAGGAGCAGCGGTCGGAGGCCGGTCGGTGTCTGGGGGTGAGTGTTGGGGTCCCCCGGGGTGGAGGGAGGAAGTGGGACACTAGAGGACCTCGGGCAGGTGCCTGGGGTCAGATCTCCGCGCGCGTTGACGGTGGACCTGCGAGGAGATCCCGGAGCCCACCCCCTTACCCCGTCTCACCCCCCACTCCCCGTGGTCCTCACTCATCCCTACGAACCCCGGCTTCTCCAAGGCGCACCCAGCCGGGCTGGGCAGGAAGTCTCCCCCACGCCAGCCGAGAGGGGAGGCCGAGGCCACCCGGGACTCTGGCATCCCCGAGCCCTGCACCGTCCCGATGGACAAGCGAGGTGGCCCGGACCCCTGCCCCCACCTGCCCTCCTCCCAGGATCGGGCGGGACCTGAAGGGGGAGTGGAGGGCTCTGGCCGTTACTGTTACTGTTGTCTCATTGCTGAGATCGTTCGGGGCACGGGTTGGGAGGGTTTGGGCAGGAAGAGCACCTGGGGCCCAGGTGGGGCTTACAGTGGGGCCTTGACTTACGAGTGTCCCGACTAACGAGTTTTGTGAGATACCAGCTGTCTCTGCGATTTTTTGCATTGAGTTGATAGAGTAATTTGAGTTAAGGAGCTCCTTAACGAGCTCGGTCTCAGAACGAATTAAACTCATAAGTCAAGGCCCCACTGTATTACTGTTACGTGAAGGAATTGCTGCCACCCCAGCCTCGTCCATGGCCCCCGGCCATGCCAGGCACTGGGCACATTGAGACCTGAGGGCCCCAGCCACGACTTCCCCTGGGGTTCAGATCTCTGCTCGGCCAGTGCCTCCCGTGTGGTTTGAGCAGGTTGCTGCTGGCTCTAGACGTGACTCGGTTTCTCCTCTGTGAGGCAGGACAATGGCCCAGCTCCCAGGAGGACGTCCAAGGTGTTCAGCAGGCAGAGGCTGTATGATTAGGGTACTTCTGGCCACTGGGGGGCCTCAAGCGAGTGACCTTAGGTCTCTGAGTTTCACTTTCCCTAGGACAGTGATGGCGAACCTATGAACTCATTTTTTTGGTTGATTTTTCTTTGTTAAATGGCATTTAAATATATAAAATAAATATCAAAAATATAAGTCTTTGTTTTACTATGGTTGCAAATATCAAAAAATTTCTCTAGCCCTGACCGGTTTGGCTCAGTGGATAGAGCGTCGGCCTGCGGACTGAAAGGTCCCAGGTTCGATTCCGGTCAAGGGCATGTACCTGGGTTGCGGGCACATCCCCAGTAGATGTGCAGGAGGCGGCTGATCGATGTTTCTAGCTCTCTATCTCTCTCCCTTCCTCTCTGTAAAAAATCAATAAAATATATTTTTTTAAAAATTTCTCTATGTGACACGGCACCAGAGTAGGTCCCAGGTTCGATTCCGGTCAAGGGCATGTACCTGGGTTGCGGGCACATCCCCAGTAGATGTGCAGGAGGCGGCTGATCGATGTTTCTAGCTCTCTATCTCTCTCCCTTCCTCTCTGTAAAAAATCAATAAAATATATTTTTTTAAAAATTTCTCTATGTGACACGGCACCAGAGTTAAGTTAGGGTTTTTCAAAATGCTGACACACCGAGCTCAAAAGGTTCGCCATCACTGCCCTAGGAGGTCAAGCGGAGCTCATGGTGCGGGTGAAAGTGGTGAAGGGGAAATCAGTCAGTGAGCCCTATGGTTATCACGTGGTTGCCCGGGAACTTCAACCATCACCATCACTATCGGAATAATAACTATTATTAGTATAATCACAATTACAGCATTAGCTAGTTCCCAACCAACTTTTCCTCGGGATTAGGCTTTTTTTTCATGGCCACTTTCCAGGTGGGTAAACTGAGGATCCTCCACCCTACCCAGGCCAGGGCTTCCTGTGGCCCAGATCTGGGGTTCAGGGTCCAGGGGGAGCTGGTCAGGTTTGGAGCCAGCCCTGGGACCACCATTTCCTCCCACTGCCCTTGGAGCGTCCAAGGCGTGGAGGCTGCTGCCACACCAGACACGGCTGAGGAGGTCACAGGGACAGGTGTGGCCTCAGTGTCAAACAATTATTAGGCTCCAAGATTAGGCTCCAGTCTGGCCTCGATAAGTGGCTAATATTTAGCCAGGCCAGCCTGGCACCTGTTCTTCCTTCCTCTTATCCCAAGTGTGTGATGACCCCAAGAGTGTGGGGAAACCAAGAAGGGGCCTCCGAGGTGATCTGCTCCAGGGCAGACGCGGGGAATCCAGACAAGCCAGTTTGGCCCCAAGAGGTAAAATGCCACTGGGTGACTTCTTGCCACTGCATCTAAGGTCCAGATTGGAGCAGCGAGCAACATGGCCCCTCTCTTCCCCCCCTGTGAACCAGGAAGGATGCCCGTTGTCATCCCTCCTGATGGGAGTCTGGCTGGGCTTGATTGCTCCCCGTGATGAGGAGCTCACCACCAACATAGCAGACTAAAGGAGTCCCATCAGGTGGTGGTTAAAGGCAGGATTGACCTTTCTTGAACGAGTTCTTTGACCTCTCTGGCCTCAGTTTCCCTATCCGTAGAATCGAGGCCACCTCGGCCTTCCCTTTCAGTGTAGGTGTGCGCGTGTATGAGCACCTGGTGGGGAGGCTGCACGCAGGACCTGGTGTGTCATCTCTAATCCTGACTGGGCTGCTCATTGTGTCCTCATTCGTGACATTGATCTCTGGGTGACAAAGAATAATGTGAGGATTGCAGGGCTCTAAGCACAGGCCTAGCTTAGAGGAGGGTCCTGACCAGCACGAAGGCGTGGGGGTCCTTCAGGAGGTTCCCACAGGAAGGCACCAGGAGGCCTCAGTTTCCCCAACTGGGAAATGGGCCCAGAAATGCCCGCTGAGGCTCAGCCGGGGCAGGGCTGGCACTTAATCAGGAGCCTCAGTCCAGCCTCAGATTCCTTCCTGGACTCCTCCCAGGAAGGCCGGTCTGCTATAGGGGAGGAGCAGCTCCTCAGTGAGTCACTGTGGTAGCCTTGGGACGAGAAGCGGAGAATGCGAAGGTCTAAAGGGCGCGTGTCACCCTTCTTCGTCACCCAGGTGTTCATCCGTGTGGAAGTGTATGTTTGCATAAACCCACCTGCACACATGGTTTTACTAAAGCAGAATCTGCATAACACGCCTTTCTAAAGAATGACCTTGCCCTGGCTGGTTTGGCTCAGTGGATGGAACATTGGCCTGGGGACTGAGGGGTCCCGGGTTCGATTCCTGTCGGGGGCGCATGATTCTTTCTCATCCTTGATGTTTCTCTCTCTCTCTCCCCCTTCCTCTCTGAAATATATATATATTTTTTAAAGAAGAATTATCTTTTTCTGGGTTTTTTTTCTTCTTTCTTTTTTTCTTTTCTGCTTACAAAAGCCACTCATGCTCCTTGTGAATAGGGACCAGCCCATCACCACTAGAGGCCAAGCCGGTAAAAAAATGGTGAGGGGTCACCCTCAGATCCGCAGGCCAGAGTCCAAATCCCACCAACCCCGTGGCCTCGGTCGGCTGTGTGAGCTCTGGTAGGTGGGCGCCCTCTCTGTGCCCAGTTCACTCCCTGGGAACTGGAACCTAGGGGCCCCGTAGATGGCTCAGTGAGAGCCACAGGGACTCCTCCACAGGCAAGGGGTTAAACCCTCCCCTGCAGGTGCCCCGATTCTCATTCTTGAGTCCCCAGAAAATGGTCTTGTTCATGGCCTCGCTGCCCCCATTAGCACATCAGCCCCGTGAGCTCAGCATGTCTCTGTCAAGTGGTCTGCGTGCCCAGAACTAGACCAGGGCATGGCTCGGACCAGATGCTCAGAGCCGTCATGAGTGTACACGTGATCGTGGTGGCTGATGGCGATCTTGTCATTGTTGCCACTTCATAAGCGAATGACGGAGTAAAGGCCACTGCTTGGCCTCCAGCCTGTCCCAGGACATAGGTCATTAGGTACACACATAGGTTCTTCCAGATGCTTCTGTCACCCCCACCCTTCACCTCTCCTTTCGGCAGCCCAGAAACGTCCCACGCCCCCATCCAAACCCCAGGGGACTGTTGGTGAACGTGCAGGACCAATGACCACCGCAGTGAGGCTGATACTGAGCACCTGTTGGGGGCTAATTGTGAGTTGGCAGCTGACACCCTCCAACTTTGCAGGCAAGGATTCCAAAGCCCTGGGGTACCAGGATGTCCTTCCCCAGGGGCACCAGGCTGCTTCAAGGGCACCAGCTGCTGGACAAGGAGGGCATGAGCTGTTGTTTTCCTGGTTTGGAAGCTGGAGGCACTCAGGCCTGTGGGTCCCTGGAGCTGGAGCGAGGGTGGGGAGGGGGGGCGAGCATGTGTCTGATGGGCCTGGAGAGGGACCCACACTCACCTCCAAGCCTTCGTTTCCTCATCTGGAAAGTGGGAGCGTCTTGTTGGGGTCACCCTGAGGCCTCCAAGTCAGTGTCAGGCAGGTCCCCGTGGTCTTGAATAGCACAGGGTGCGGAGGGAGCAGGGCCAGGCCCGAGGGTGTGAGCACGGGTCCTTGCCACCTGGTGTCTTTCGCACACACCCCATGTATCTTAGCCTCCCTGCCTTTCTGGCCTCCCCCATGACAGTGACGATGACAAGGTGAGGAGCCCTAGCTGGTTTGGCTCAGTGGATAGAGCGTAGGCCTTTGGACTGGAGGGTCCTGGGTTCGATTCCAGTCAAGGGCACATACCTCGGTTGCAGTCTCGATCCTGGGCCCTGGTTGGGGCGTGTGCAAGATTCAACGAATTGATGTGTCTCTCTCACACTGACGTTTCTCTCTGGCTCTCCCTCTCCCTTCCACTCTCTAGGAATCAATGGAAAAATACCCTTGGGTGAGGTTGACAAAAGTAAGAAAGAACAAGGTGAGGACAGAGTTGCCTGGAGCCACACATGCTGGAAGCCTTCCCAGGCCTTGGCTGTTTTCTGAGGGTTAAGACAGAAGATGTGTGGCCAGGGCACTGTCACCAATAGGGACCCTAATGCTGCTGAGTAGTCAGTCCTTTCCGTATGCCTAGTGTGTGATTAATATTCAACAATCATTAATATTTAGTACTGT